AACCATCAGAGGCAGAAATGAGATACTGCTGCTAGTCCTAATCGAAATTGCGCTGGGTCGTTGTCATCTGTCATGAAATTGGATGTATAGGCTAGTCTGTAGAATCATTCAAAATTTCAGCAGCATTAGAGCAATGGTCAAAATCTCTTTGGATCTACAAAAGGTACCCTGTATACCAATCCCTATGAGACTGATTTCTAATGCTGGAGTCTTCTTTGTCTTCCAATGCCGATGTGTAGTTCTAGAACATCACATCGTGCTCTCTTGACTTCCCTGCTCTTCAGCATATTGAGGACAACACAGTCCAGGTATCAAATCCACGAGGGATCTGGGATGGACACTTGATGGAGTAAGAAAGTAAATGTGAGAGTCGCCATCAAAATTTCACTGTCTTGGATAAATGTGTATCGAGCCTAGCTAGAAACAAGCGACTTGACCATCTCAAACGGAGTAGGCCCCAGTTTCTTCAAAGTTAAGAAAGCTGTTAAGCCCACCACACCTATCCTGACAACCAGCGCTGCCGTTACAGCATGTCTGATGATGGGATAATAACCTTCTAGCATGGAATTGACTGCAGCGCCTCTAGCCATAATTTTGCTTCTGCCGCTCTGTCCCCATGTCCTTCCCACGCCCAACCCTGCTATACCCACTTCCCCCGGCTTCTCTTCTTCTTCCAAAGAACCTACAGCTTCGCTACCTATTCCGGGTAGGTCTTGTGTGGGACCCTCGTTCGTGTTTGATACACTGGACACGGCTGAGCTCATTTCCACGGCTTTCTGCTTGCGGAAGCGGTACGACATTGCCCATAGTATCACTCTGACGTCCCAACTGGTAAAGGTAGGGTACGTCCATAGCTCCAGCGCATTGTGAGGAGGTATGTGCTCGAGAAAGTCGCTTACAACGCCGAGCGTCAAGCCCCAAAGTAATAGCGGTGGTCTACGGTCTTTGGATCGCGAGGCAGGTCCTGCTAGGGCATCTCTGACAAGGCACAACAAACCCTGAGATTCATCGTCGATGGGTATAAAGTCTGGGATAGTTGCGCAATGTGTCGAGTTTGCGGGGACCAGATGAATGGCTGCGAACATCATTTTGCTTAGCATGGCCTGCAGGAACCAGCGCTTGATACCTAATTCCGACTTTGCTAGACGTGCTGAGACATCTGCGTATTCGTGTGTGCGTAATGCAGGTGAGAGAAGCGCGCGGATGGGTACCCAGTGGGAGGATGCTACCTCGGTGGGCTGCAGACGTTGTGGCGGGTAGAATGGGGAGGTCAGAAGGTAGATGTAGGGACATAGAACCATGAGCCTATGAAGCAGGATTAGCCTTGATACTCGCAATATACATTTGCCAATCCGCCGCTGCAAAGCGAGGCTGAGCTTGAGTCTACAAGAATTTAACGTACGGTACTTTACCCCAGCTCGTCGTAACGATGCGCTGAGGTAGGTTGCCCACGGCGATGGCATTGTCGGGGCTCAGATCAATACCGACTTCCTCGAGCGCTTCGCGCGCAGCTGTGACTTGGTCGTCGCTATCCTCGGGATCTCGCTTTCCACCAGGGAGCGCAACATGTCCATTCCACTTGTCACCAATCCTTGTAGCTCGCTTTATGAAAAGTAGTTCCGGGTCACCGTGCTTAACCCAGTCCTGGTTGAAGAAGGCGCTCAAAGAGGACTCAAAATCGAATTCATCTGCGGGCTTTGCGACCGAGGAGCGTCTGCGTCGCTTCGGTAGAGGACTATCGGAGCTATTGGGCCAATGTGCGTAACTGGGCTGTATGCGTAGGATCAGAGCTACCGAAGCGCGTTTCGGTAAATCTGGTGGACACGCGACGTCTGGATAGGGGTTGGCGTTGAGCTCAAGCAGTACAGATTGGAGGTGACTGACGAGATCCTCGGTATTCAGAGCCTCTGTCATGATGCTGTGGGAGTTGCACTGTGTTGGCTATATCAGCCGTGTTGTAAAGTTAGCCGTGCAACGGAGTAGTCGGTACCCGGTTGTAAGAAGTAATTTCTTTTAATGTAATCTAAGAGACTCTTGTATAGAAGAGCAAAGAACGTGAGATCACGATAGAGATCAGATGTAGTATCCGAGGTATACGGACCAAGACCTAACGCGCGTTATCGATAAAGTTGGCAGTCCTTTGCCATTCCGGTGATTGGCTACATGACTTCACCTTGTGTGAAAACACCAGAAACCGGAGGAAAAGCTCTTGGAGCATTGTCGACTCCTTCTTGCGACACCGGCTACAACATCATAGCAGTGATCAACGACACGGCCTGGGATAACCCCGCTGTGTTGGGTATGTAGTAGTTTGGAGAGTGGAGGAGCTTTGGCCAATCGGCCCGGCAACATGGAGGGGCAGCAAAATGAGGTCAGTCTTGAGCCCCGCGACGCCAAAAAAATCTCCACAGTCTCTTGCGCCACTGCTTTGTACCCCAGATCTGACTTTGAGCAGTCTGTAACTTTTCAATTGATTCGTAGATTCTCATACAATCAGTCAATATGGGCGGCCAAAAGACAGGTGAGCAAGATCGATAACCAAATCTAAAAAATGAAAATCATTAATGAGATGCGACAGCCATTCTGTCCGTGTACGACAAGACCGGTCTTCTTGACCTGGCCAAGGGACTGCACGAATGCGGTGTCCGCCTACTTGCGTCTGGCGGTACAGCCAAGATGATCCGCCAGGCCAACTTCCCAGTCGAAGATGTCTCTGCCATTACCAAGGCGCCTGAGATGCTCGGTGGGCGCGTCAAGACGCTGCACCCTGCTGTTCATGGCGGCATTCTCGCACGCGACCTCGACTCGGACGACTCTGACCTCTCTGCAAACAGCATCGACAAGATTGACTTTGTCGTTTGCAACCTGTACCCCTTTTCTGAGACGGTCGCTCGCATCAACGTCACAATCCCAGAGGCAGTTGAGGAAATTGACATTGGAGGTGTGACTCTGCTCAGGGCTGCCGCAAAGAACCACGCCCGCGTCACTATCATCAGCGACCCCAACGACTACCATGACCTCCTCACTGAGCTTAAGAAGAACGGCGAAGTCTCGGAGACCAGCAGGCAGCGTTATGCCCTGAAGGCTTTCGAGCAGACTTCCTCATACGATACCGCTATTTCCGAGTTTTTCAGGAAGAAGTACGCGGGCGACGGTGTCCAGTACCAGACCCTCCGATACGGTGCCAACCCTCACCAAAAACCCGCAACTGTCTCCATGGCAGAGAAGCCCCTACCATTCAAGGTGCTCTGCGGTTCTCCAGGATACATCAACTTGCTCGATGCGCTCAATGCATGGCCGCTCGTGCAGGAGCTAACCAAGGCACTGAACTACCCAGCTGCTGCCAGCTTCAAGCACGTCTCGCCTGCCGGTGCAGCCATCGGAGTCCCCCTCAGCGAGGTAGAGCGCAAGGTATACATGGTTGATGACATTGACGGCATCGAGACTTCAGGACTGGCGCAGGCATATGCGAGGGCCCGTGGTGCCGACAGGATGTCAAGTTTTGGTGACATGATTGCTCTGTCAGCCGAGGTTGATGTGAGTAACTGTTGAATAATCGGTTTGACTCGATGACTGACGGAATACAGGTCCCAACCGCCAAGATTATCAGCCGTGAAGTGTCCGACGGTGTCATTGCTCCTGGTTACAGCGCTGAAGCCCTGGAGATCCTCAAGAAGAAGAAGGGTGGAAAGTACCTGGTTCTTCAGATGGACCCCGAATACGTCCCAGGCCCAGAAGAATCTAGGACCGTGTTCGGCATCACGCTCAAGCAGCACCGCAACGACGCCAAGATCCTTCCTTCTGACACATTCAACACAATCATTGTGCCTAAGAACTCTCCTCCGCTACCAGAGTCAGCTCAGCGCGATCTTACCGTCGCTACCATTGCTCTTAAGTACACTCAGTCAAACAGTGTATGCTATGCGCTCAACGGCCAACTCATTGGTCTTGGAGCTGGCCAGCAATGTAAGTATTGTTCAACTCCAAAACTATAGCAGCCACTGACACGCAAAAGCACGTATTCACTGCACTCGTCTTGCTGGTGACAAAGCCGACAACTGGTGGATGCGTTTCCACTCAAAGACGCTCAACCTCAACTTCAAGAAGGGTACCAAGCGCCCCTCCAAGTCTAATGCCATTGATCTCCTTTGCTCAGGTCTCGTTCCCGAGTCAGGCATTGAGCGCGAGGACTTTGAGGCGCACTTTGAGGAGGGCCATGTGCCGCAGCCTTTCACGGCCGAGGAACGCAAGGAATGGTTGTCGAAGATGGAGAGCGTAGCAGTCAGCTCCGACGCTTTCTTCCCCTTTATCGACAACGTCTTCAGAGCGCACAGGAGTGGAGCCAAGTACATTGCTGCACCCACAGGTAGCCAGAACGATGGCGCCGTTTTCGAGACGAGTGAGAAGTTGGGTATCACCTTTGTTGAGCAGCACATTAGGCTGTTCCACCACTAAGAGGATGATAGATGGATTTGCCCAAGTGGCATATGGAGATGATGCTCATGTGAAATGACACGATAGCACAGTTGAGCTTTAGTGGGATGAACTTACGATACCTTTGAAAGTGGTTATTTCAACATTTCCTCGCGATAAAACTTTTCTTCTACTTATTCTAGTGCATTGAATATAAGTGTGTGATGAATGTCTGGCAGAGTGAGCTCATACAGGCGGATCCTCATGCGTCCGTGAAGTGGCGTCGTTTGGCGCAGTGAGGCGTGGCTGAAGGGTTGTTGCAAAGCAACATTGATGGCCAACGTTCGACGCGCTAATGTTTGCTATTTGCTGCAAACGGCAGGCGTTGTCCAGGAGACCAGCCCATTTTGGGCTAGTTCTGGGCTAGACCGCAACGCAAGGAATAGATGAAGGGCGCTTCACCTAGAATTGTTACGCTACACCGCTGCTACGAACAACTCACTGCCAACGCTTCAATCGCTTTTGGGATTGTCGAATCTACTCATTGCGACTCTTGGGAATTGAACACTAATCCTTGAAGACTTAACATGTCCGCTCAGCCAGACAACCAGCAGATGGAGGGTGTCCAGGACCCCACTACCGACGTGAAGGGCAAGGGCAAGGCTCAGGAGGGCGACGCGATGGAAGAGTCCATGGATGATGACTCCAGCGATGAGTCTGGTGCCGAGGATCAGGTGCGCTCTTTTGACCCATTGTGGCCCATTTTCAGCACCAATAGCTAACACAATCGCATACAGGTCGGCGAACGTAAGCCACTCACACGCGAATACATTCGAGCCAATTCAGCAACTGACACATGAACAGCCGAAGAGCCCGATGAGGACAACATGGAGGAGATTGAGACATCCAACATCATAGGCAGCCGCACGCGCGGTAAGCACATCGACTTCAGCAAGGCCAACCAGGAGCTCGAGGGTGACGACGACGAGGATGACGATGAGGACTTTGTCGACCCCGATGACCAGATGAAGGACTAAGGGGCAGCTGTGCAAAAAAACTCTCTTCTTTGTCTCTTGGTAAGTTTTTCGCGCCTGTTCGCCCCCCAATTCACACCGCCTTTGGCCACGCCTACTGACTTTTCGCTTCCAGTCACCCTTTGCGCAAACAACACACGTTTCGGTTATCGAAGTTCGGATTGATTCTTGATATACATACGCAGAAAACATGCTAGGTGGCGGGGAGAGAAGAATCTGGGTCGAGACTTGGAGTCTAGGCGCGTGTACCCTTGGTTGCGAGGCGGATGGTGGGGCGACGCGAGACCCTGTGTTTTTGACGCGCAACAAAGTGCGCGACATGGACAATGGATTGGATACTCTGCGTCTGCCATAGCATCAACATAAATGATGAATGAAAGTGAATGATATATGATTGTTTCTGCAGATTGAGTGAATGCATACTGATTGTCTTGCTGTGTGAAGAAGACTACGCTCACGTATGCACACTACGAAGAATACCTCGGACCCCAAGCCCTATACATATATACCCCCAGAGCTAACGTGCTTGAATTAGTAGTGAGATGTAGTAGTACAAACAGTAGTTCCATATCTACTCTATTTTTTCCCCTACGCGCAGGCAGCTAGTTGGAACACACCCCTTCCCTTTCCCCTTGCCAGTCTGTTCTCCAAGGGGGTGGGTGCATCCAGACATGCCAGCACACACAGGCATCAACCCCGCACCTGCCAGCTTCAAAGAGACCAAGGCTGGGTTTAACACCAGAACGTCGGGCTTGCACAACGCGATATAGCCAAATATGCATGAGTGCAAGAATTTATTGATTGTATATTGATCTTACTTTGTTTTGATGTCGATGGAATGTCGATGCAAATGCTGCGACTACGATGGCGGACGCAGCCCCACTAAGACTGAGCAGGGCTTCTAAAGCAAACCCTCCCCCCCAAGTCACGGGGTATGGATATGTGGGGAGGGGGGAAGCCAGAGTCAGAGTCAGGGTCTGAAGCAGCAGGGTTATTTGGAAAAGGGCAGGGGGGGAGTACGGTACACTAAACACAGCAGTCAAGGTGAGTTGTTTGGTAGTACGTTATGTAAATCAGGCTTGCGTACGCAAGCACAGCACCAAGAAGTGCAGTCTTACATGCCAAACGGGCCGGTTGGCCCGTATTGCCAAAGTCTATTTTTGCCAATGAGAGGGAAGCAAAAAAAAAAGGTGAGGCCAGGTATGTGGTAGGAAGATCTTTGTGGGATGGAGGATGGGGAACGTGGGTTGAGAATTAATTTGGCTTGATGTGCAAAGGCGTGGGGGTTGATGAATACATACTACCAATGCCTAAGAGAAAGAAAAAAAAATATCATCTGTGGTTTTAGCTTGATTGGGTAACTCGAGTAAAGGAAGGAAAAACAGGGTCCCGTGATTTTTGCATAGGGTAGGCTTGTTAGGTTCGAGTTACTCGTTTTGTTCGTAGTGATTGTCGGGTGGAATAGGGTCGTTGCTAACAATGCACGTGATCGGGACGTGGGTGTACGTGTATTGGCAACCTTGTGCCCCACTTTTACTGGAACGAAGCGATCTTGATGGCAAAATGGCAAAAGTTACAGTTGCTAGTAAAGGGTCCAAAATTTTGGGTTACTTTTGGAGTGTAGCATGAAGTTACATGTCCTTGTACTTTGGGTATTCTCTGTTGAATTCTGCGATGGTGAGATTGCGACAGCAAAGCGACGCAGATATTTGGAACGCTCTCATTTTTTTCTTATTTGGGGAAAACCAAGGCATCGGGACATGAGTCCGATCTTGTCGGGTAAATCGACTGCGTTGGGTCGGGAATCAGATGTTGAAGTCGGATTCCGCCTCTGGGAGATAGGGTGCACATCGGAAACCCACCACCATTTTCGACTCTTTTCGCACAAAGGCCCGAAGCGAAGGGACATAAGTATTAGGTACACGAATCCTGCAGAGATTGGCCGTCGAATGGCAGTGGTGAGATTGGCACTAGATCGGGGGTGTTGAGCACAAGTGGTGTGTTTTGATTGCGTTGAAGAAATTCCTGGTATATCCGCCGGGTAACGAGTGCAAGCTGGGTGCGGGCACAGGCGACATCGGCCAGACGAGCAGAACAAAGGTCTGCGTGTTCTCGTGACTCGTCTCCCGCTACGTGGTGCCGGGCTGCAGGCAGTGTCTGTTCCGATCTGTTCCGAGCATGATGCGGACACTGTTGCTTGGTGGCCAGCGGGCAGCAGCAGCCGTGGCGGGCCGGTCAGAATGGCCCAATGGGTTGGATCATGTGAGGGAAGGACAAGCAGAAGGCATCTTTTGCAGAAGCCCAAGGCTGCGACTAGGTGGGTGATATTCACTGCAATCTGCGCTGCAATGATGTCGTCGACTGCGCAGTCAAGCAATGAGGGCGGAAGCTCCGCCGCGCACGGGCGGGGTTATATCTTGTCCCGTCCAACGAGGGGCGAGAGAAGGAAGGGGGCAGCGCAAGCTCCCGCCCCGGAGATGCTTGGGCGCAGATAAGATGAGACATGACCCTTGGGAATTACGACAAAATGGTCGAGGCGAGGCCGGCGGCCCAATTGGCGCGGGCGAGATTCAGATGATGCGGCATATGCAACCATCTGGTGGTCATCCGCAGCCAACCCAGCCAACCCGACCAACCCGACCTTCGGAGGCCAGCCTGCCACTGCACAGATGCACAGACGAACGCCTGCAGGGCGGTCGGCCCCCGCCGCCCAATCACGCCCACGGTTATCGTCATGGAGCGGCAGAAAAACCGTGGGGTAGGCCAATTTTCCCATGCACAACCCGCCGCAGAGGTCGTCGCTATACTACAGTATCCACACACGACCAGCTCTGCCAACCTTCCGCCACGCCGCGGCAGACGCTGTGAGAAACAATGCCTCGCAGGCTGACCTCAGGTTGGCAGTGGCGAGCTGCAGACACTCGTGGGCTTGTATCGAAAAAATAAAATAAAAACAAGTAGACGCTGAGAATTGCAATTTCATGTGCCGTACTTGGTGAAAGAGGCGGGGGCGTCATCTCACAACCACATGCAAACAGAGCACCAAGGCATCAACCCACCCCCAGCACCAGGCACTCCCCAGTCTGCAGCGGCAAAGAGACCGACCCGACCGACCGACAAGGCCTACAACTGACAGCAGAAACGCCTCCCTCGACGCGCTTCTGGCCCCGTCATTGGACACTGTCAAGTCGACTTGCTAGCGCATTGGGAAAATATCCACCCCACCACCAGCCCTCCGCCCTCTTATTCATAAGTACTCCCTCCCAACCAGCCGCGCCCTTTGCCCTCCCTCTCTCTCCCTTCTTGTCCTGTACTCTCTCCAGCACAATCGCTACAATCTACTTGCAGGAACACCGCGCGCCGACTACACGGCCAGTTCCATTAGTCTCCACATCGAGTAAGTGAATGCTCTGCCTCCCATGTCTACGCCTGCTGCACCCACCCACCCATCCGCGACCATACATTGTGCTTTTCCACCGCCACTCCGGCCTGGCTTGTATTAGCCACCATCCTACTGCACTTTGGGCTGCTACCCCGCGTGAGCCCATTCGCTGCCTCCCTTATCAGCACATCCTCTGCTTGGATACCCCATTATTCGCCGCGGGGATTTGCGTGAGCGTCATAGCTATCAATTGCTTACCTCCGCCCAAATCCGTCTGCTCAGCGACCCGGTCCCGTTGTTTGCCTAGCTCCCAGGCCGTTCTATGGTTGCAATCCCCTCTAGCAACACTCGTTCCCCCCACTCGCATTTGTTGCTTTTGAAACTAGGCCTATGCGCCCCGTTGTACCAAGCTACCTTTGACTCTCGGCCCTCTTTCTCGCGCCCACAGCTTGCTTCTTCTTTTTCTACTTATGAACCAAAAATTAACTCCTCCCTCCAGACTTCATCCGTAGACTAGACCACCACTTGCACATCGACGCATCGAGCGACCCCGCCACACGCCGATAACGATATTGCACCCTTCCCACCACCACCAACACCAACGAAACCCACGAATTCGGCCTTTTGCCGATATAATGGGTCGGGTCTCGTTCGCCGAAGATACAAAGTTGCCCCAGGATACCCAGATTGAAGAAGAGCAGACTTCAGTGTTTGCTTATCAGGATGGCCCAGAGAACAAGTCCTGGGCGGGTGCGCTGCCCTTGAAGCAGGGTCTCTACGACCCAGAGCTAGAGAAGGATGCTTGTGGTGTCGGTTTTGCTGCGTAAGTGACAATCACAATCAGTTTGCTGAGAGTGCGTGAAGATGAACTGACAATTCTGCAGCCATATCAAGGGCAAGGCTAGCCACAAGATCGTCTCTGACGGTAAGAAAATTATATATACCTAAAATTGCACAAACATATATACTGACAAACAAACAGCACGGTCATTGCTATGCAACATGACCCATCGAGGAGCCGTTGGCTCCGACGCACGAGACGGTGACGGTGCAGGTGTAATGACCTCCATCCCCCACCGATTCTTCCTCAAAGAGTTCGAGCGTGAACAAGGCTACAAGCTGCCCAAGCTTGGCCAGTACGCCACTGGTAACCTGTTCTTCAAGCCGGACCCTAGCATCTTGGATGAGACCAAGACCATGTTTGAGGACGTTGCAGACCAGCTCGACCTGAGAGTGCTTGGATGGCGAACAGTGCCGCGCGATTCAACACTTCTTGGGCCCGCGGCCTTGTCACGAGAGCCCATTATCCTCCAGCCATTCGTTGTTCTGAAAACTGCCTATGGTGATGGTCGGGAGCCAAAGGCTGATTTCCAGCAAAAGTACGATAACGCATACTTTGAGCGACAGCTCTATGTCATGCGAAAGCGAGCTACACATGTCATTGGCCTACACAATTGGTTCTACATTTGCTCACTGAGCAACAAGAACATTGTCTACAAGGGTCAGCTTTCTCCAGTTCAGGTCTATGAATACTACCACGATCTGCTCAACGTCGATTACGAGGGTCACTTTGCCTTGGTGCACTCGCGTTTCTCGACCAACACATTCCCCAGTTGGGACCGTGCGCAGCCTCTGCGATGGGCGGCTCACAATGGTGAAATCAACACGCTACGAGGAAACAAGAACTGGATGCGAGCACGTGAGGGTGTTATGAAGTCTAGTCTCTTCGGCGAGGAACTCGATCTTCTCTACCCAATCGTTGAGGACGGTGGCTCCGACTCTGCGGCTTTTGACAACGTTCTTGAGCTGTTGACCATCAACGGCGTTCTGTCTCTTCCAGAAGCAGTCATGCTCATGGTCCCAGAAGCATGGCAGGGCAACAACACCATGGATCCCGCCAAGGCAGCCTTTTACGAGTGGGCTGCTTGTATGATGGAGCCTTGGGATGGCCCTGCACTCTTCACTTTCTCTGACGGACGGTACTGCGGTGCCAACCTCGACCGAAATGGTCTGCGTCCTTGCCGTTACTACATCACTGATGACGACCGCATTGTTTGCGCATCCGAGGTCGGTACCATTTCAATCGAGCCTGAGCGAGTCGTTCAAAAGGGCCGTCTGCAACCCGGTAGAATGTTGCTTGTCGATACTGTCGCTGGTCGAATCGTCGATGACGCTGAGCTGAAGAAGTCCGTCGCGGAGCGTAACGATTTCCGCAGATGGATTGAAAAGAACCTTTTGACTCTTCCCAAGATTGTTCAGTCTGTCGGCGAGAAAGGTATCGACCTTTCTCATTCGCTCACTGAGACTAAGCTTCATGAAGACCCTCGTCTGCGAGCTTTCGGTTATTCTCTCGAGCAAGTCAGCTTGCTCCTCGGACCCATGGCTGCAGACTCCAAGGAGGCTCTTGGATCCATGGGTAACGATGCTCCTCTTGCTTGCTTGGCAACACAGCCTCGCCTGTTGTACGAGTACTTCCGTCAGCTCTTCGCTCAGGTTACCAACCCTCCTATTGACCCTATCCGTGAGGCCATTGTCATGTCTCTCGAGGCCTACGTTGGTCCCCAGGGTAACCTGCTAGAGATGGATGAGTCGCAGTGCGGTCGTCTGCTTTTGCCGTCCCCAATTCTTACTCTTGAGGAGTTCAAGGCAATGACCAACGCCCACACCCTCTACCGTGAGTGGACTGTCAAGAGTATCGACATCACTTTCCCCAAGAGTGAAGGTATCGAGGGATACATGAATGCTCTCGACCGCATCTGTGAAGCAGCCACAGAGGGCATCCAGGCCGGCGACAACATCCTTGTCTTGACCGATCGTGCAACATCCGTCGACCGCGTCGCTGTATCTGCTTGCTTGGCCACTGGTATGGTTCACCACCACCTTGTCCGCAACAAGTGGCGATCCAGTGCAGCTCTCGTTGTTGAGACTGGCGAAGCTCGTGAGGTTCACCACATGTGTGTCCTTGTCGGATATGGTGCTGATGCTGTCTGCCCCTACCTTGCCATTGAGTGTATTCTCAAGATGCATCGCGAGGGCATCATTCGCAAGAACTTGACACCTGAACAGCTCATTCAAAACTACAAGCATTCTTGCGATGGTGGTATCTTGAAGGTCATGAGCAAAATGGGTATCTCGACGCTCCAATCTTACAAGGGCGCCCAGATTTTCGAGGCTCTCGGTCTTGATGACTCTGTTGTCGACCGCTGCTTCACCGGCACTGCGTCCCGTATCAAGGGTATGACCTTTGAACTTATCGCAGCCGATGCATTTGCTCTCCACGAGAAGGGCTACCCATCACGACCTATTGTAGAGGTACCTGGTCTTTCTGAGACTGGCGAGTACCACTGGCGTGATGGAGGCGAGCCTCACGTCAACGACCCTACTGCCATGGCCAACCTCCAAGACGCTGTTCGCACCAAGAACGACAAGTCGTACGAGGCTTACTCTATCGCTGAGTATGAACGTATCAAGGACTGTACCCTTCGTGGTCTTCTTGATTTCAACTTCGATGACCGCGCCCCTATCCCCATCGACCAAGTCGAGCCATGGACAGACATTGTGCGCCGCTTCGTCACTGGTGCCATGTCCTATGGATCTATCTCTATGGAGTCACATTCCACTCTCGCCGTCGCCATGAACCGTCTTGGCGGAAAGTCGAACACTGGAGAGGGTGGTGAAGACCCTGAGCGCAGCTTGCGCATGGAGAATGGCGATACTATGCGCTCCGCCATCAAGCAGATTGCTTCCGGACGTTTCGGTGTCACCTCCAACTACCTCGCAGATGCTGATGAGCTCCAAATCAAGATGGCACAAGGTGCTAAGCCTGGTGAAGGTGGTGAGCTTCCTGGCCACAAGGTCTCTGGTTCTATTGCAAAGACCCGTCACTCTACCCCTGGTGTCGGTCTTATTAGTCCTCCTCCCCACCACGACATTTACTCCATCGAGGATCTTAAGCAGTTGATCTACGACCTGAAGTGTTCCAACCCTCGCGCTCGTGTCTCAGTCAAGCTTGTCTCCGAGACCGGTGTTGGTATTGTCGCTTCCGGTGTCGCCAAGGCCAAGGCTGACCACATCCTCATCTCCGGTCACGATGGTGGTACCGGTGCCTCTCGATGGACTGGTATCAAGTACGCTGGTCTTCCATGGGAGCTGGGTCTTGCAGAGACTCATCAGACACTTGTTCTCAACGATCTCCGTGGTCGTGTCATTGTCCAGACTGACGGTCAAATCAAGACTGGTCGCGATGTCGCTATCGCGTGTTTGCTTGGAGCCGAAGAATGGGGCTTTGCTACAACTCCCCTGATCGCCATGGGCTGCATATTCATGCGCAAATGCCATTTAAATACTTGTCCTGTAGGTATTGCTACTCAGGACCCTGAGCTCAGGAAGAAGTTCGCTGGTACACCCGAGCACGTCATCAACTTCTTCTACTACGTTGCGAATGAGCTCCGTGCAATTATGGCTAAGCTTGGCTTCCGCACTATTAACGACATGGTTGGTCGCTGCGAGTTCCTCCGTATCCGCGACGATCTCCGCACTGCTAAGACAGAGAACATTGATCTTTCGCTCATCCTGACCCCTGCGCACACTCTCCGCCCTGGTGTTGCTACATTCAACGTTCGCAAGCAGGACCACCGACTACACGTCCGCCTAGACAACAAGCTCATTGCTGAGTCCGAGCTTGCTCTGGAGAAGGGTCTCCCTGCCCGTATTGAGTGTGATGTCGTCAACACTGACCGTGCTCTCGGTGCTACCCTTTCCTACCACATCAGCAAGCGCTATGGTGAGGCCGGCCTGCCCTCAGATACCATTCACGTCAATATTCGTGGATCTGCTGGACAGTCTTTTGGTGCTTATCTTGCACCTGGTGTCACTCTTGAACTTGAGGGTGACGCTAACGACTATGTCGGCAAGGGTCTGTCCGGAGGTCGTTTGATCATCTACCCTCCTCGCAACGCCGTCTACCGTGCCGAGGAGAATGTCCTGATCGGTAACGTCTGCTTGTACGGTGCCACTCAAGGTACTTGCTTCTTCCGTGGTATCGCCGCCGAGCGCTTCTGCGTTCGAAACTCGGGTGCCACGGCCGTCGTTGAAGGCGTTGGTGACCACGGCTGCGAGTACATGACTGGTGGTCGTGTTCTTGTCCTCGGATCTACAGGCCGTAACTTTGCTGCTGGTATGTCTGGTGGTATTGCTTATGTTCTGGATATCCACAAGGACTTTGAGCAGAAGGTCAACCAAGAGATGGTCGAGCTGTCTCCAATTGAGGAGCCAGAGGAGATTGCGTTTGTGCGAGGCCTTATTGAAGACCACCACCACTACACCGGATCTGAGCTTGCCGCACGTATTCTCCTCGACTTCACCCGCGCTCTATCGCGCTTTGTCAAGGTCATGCCTATTGACTACAAGCGTGTTCTCTTGGAGGAGAAGGCCAGGCTTGCTGAGGAGAAGAGGAACAAGTATCCTCTTCCTCTACTTGCCGGCAACGCCGTCCGCAACGCTCATGAAGAGTCTCGCACCAAGGAGGCTGAGGCTGAGGCTGAGGCCAAGAAGAAGAGCAGCGGTTTGCTTGACATTGAAGAGAGTGTGACTGACGCAAAGGCCGAAAAGAAGAAGGCTCTGGTCCTAGACAAGACACGCG